AAGCTAGCTAAATTATTGGTTAAAAGGCAATAAGATATACCCAAATAGTTTCCTGGGGTAACATAGGGTCCACAAAAAACACCATGACCTTTTTTCCTTTTTTGACCCGGAAAAGTAAAATATTATCCAAAATTAAAGGCTACAATACACGAAATCGAAGCAATTTTGGAGGTAATGGGTCCCAGTGTCAAAAAATCTTCAAAAAAATAGGGGATACATCCCAAGGCTATATAATAAAGGTTGTTACCTTATATGATCCTAACATGTCGTCATAAATGTCCAAGGTGGCCTTTGAGTTAACGAAAAAGGCGTAAGATGTTGAAGTCACTAATTGACAATTTTAGGCAGAGTGGAAGGTTCCACCCACCAAAATGGACCCCCGAAGTGTATTTAGGCATATGGGGCTATGGGTATCATCTCGACAATTTTTTTAATGGGTCCAAATAAGTAAAAAATCGTCTTAGATTTGTTTTTTCCAAAAATTAACGGAATGTGCGGGGTACCCCTGGAGGTTATATAAGTTAGTTTGGAAGCATAAGACACCTATAATGATGTATATAGAGCCCTAAAAATGAGTTTAGTTTGATACAATCATATTAGGAGAGTGAATACGAGCTAAATTATTGGTTAATAGAGAATAAGAATATAAGATGGACCCAAATAGTTTCCTAAGGTAACATAAGGTTTATGGTAACACCATAACCTTTTTCCTCCCAAACATGGAAAAATAAAATTAAAAAAAAAATAGCCAAAATTGAAGGCTATAACACACAAAATTGAAGCAATTTAGGAGGTTATGAGTCCTGGTGTTAGAAAAGATGATAGAGGATTCATCCAAAGGTAATATAATGTCATTTGTTACAGTATATAATCATTACATGTTGTCATAAATGTCAATGGTGGCCTTAAGTTAAAGCAAAAGGCATAAGATGTAGATGTCTCTAATGACAATTTTATGCAAAGTAAATGGTTCCACCCACCCAAATAGATCCCCGTAGTGTATTTTGGCATATGAATATCATCTCGACAATTTGTTTACAGGTAAAAAAAAGTCCAAAATTGAAGGCTATAATCCACGATTTGGAGCGAATTTTAGATTTATTTTTTCTGAAAATGAACGGAATGTGTGGGGGTGCCCCTTGAGGTTATACAAGTTAGTTTGGAATACGACACCTACAAATATGTCTATATAGCCACAAGAATGAGTTTTAAGTTGACTCAAATCACTCAATCATATTAAGAGAGTGAAAGTTAGCTAAATTATTGGTTAAAAGGCAATAAGACAGACCAAAATAGTTTCTTGGGGTAACATAGGGTCTATAGGAAACACCATGACCTCTTTCCTTTTCAGACCTAGAAAAGTAAAAAATTATCCAAAATTAAAGGTTATAATACACGAAATCGAAGCAATATTAGAGGTTTAGGTCCCGATGTCAAAAAATCCCGAGATAATAGGGGATACATCCCAAGGCTATATAATATCGTTCATTACCGTGTATGATCATTACATGTTATCATATATGTCCATGGTGGCCTTTAGTTAATGAAAAAGGCGTAACATGTTGATGTCTCTAATTGACAATTAAATGCAAAGTGGATGGTTCACTCACCCAAATGGACCACCTAGGTGTATGTATTTGGTTCTATGGGTATAATCTCGACAATGAGTTTTGCAGGTCCAAAAAAGTCAAAAATTGTCTGAAATTGAAGGCTTTAAGCCCATAATCCACTATTTCGAGCTAATTTTAGATTATTTTTTTCCAAAAAAGAACGGAATACATGGGGTGCCCCTTTAGGTTATATAAGTTAGTTTGGAACCATAAGACACCAATAAAGATGTCTATAGAACTCTAAGAATGAGTTTAGTTTAATTTCATCATATTAGGAGAATGAAGACTAGCTAAATTATTGGTTAAAAGGCAATAACATAAACCCAAATGGTTTCCTAGGGTATCATAGGGTCCATGGGAAACACCATGACATCTTTCCTTCGAAACCCTAGAAAATAAAAAAATAAAAAAAAATAGCCTAAATTGAAGGCCATAACACACGAAATTGAAGCAACTTAAGAGGCTACTTGTTTAAAAAAATCTCGAGATAATATGAGACACATCCCAAGGTTATATAATATCGTTTGTTACCGTATATGATCATTATATGTTATCATAAATGTCAATGGTGGCCTTGAGTTAATGAAAAAGCATAAGATGTTGATGCCTCTAATTAACAATTAAAGGCAAAGTAGATGGATCCACCTACCTAAATAGACCCCCGTATTGTATTTGGGTATATGGGTATCATCTCGAACAATTTTTTTTACATGACCAAAAAAATCGAAAATTGTTCAAAATTGAAGGCTATAATCCACGATTTCGAGCGAATTTTAGATTTTCTTCCAAAAATGAACAGAATGTGTGGGGTGCCTATTGAGGTTATTTAAGTTGGTTTGGAACCATAAGACACCTACAAATATGTCTATTTAACCCCAAGAATGAGTTTAATTTGATTCAATCATATTAAGAGAGTGAAAGTGAGCTAAATTATTAGTTAAAAGGCAATAAGATGGACCCAAATTGTTTCCAAGGGTAACATAGGGTCCATGGGAAATACCATGACCTCTTTCCTTTCTGGATCCGAAAAAGTAAAAATTATCCAAAATTGAAGACTATAAAACACGAAATCGAAGCAATTTTGGAGGTTTGGGTCCCGGTGTCAAAAAATCTTGAGATTATTGGGGATACATCAAGGTTGTATAATGTCGTTTGTTACCGTATAAGATCATTACATGTTATCATGAATGTCCATGGTGGCCATGAGTTAATGAAAGAGGCGTAACTTTTTAATGTCTCTAATTGACAATTAAAGGCAAAGTGGATGGTTCCACCCACCCAAATGGACCCCCCCGGAGTGTATTTAGGTCTATGGGAATTATATTGGCAAATTTTCTTTTCAGGTCCTAAAAAGTCGACTATTGTTGAAAATTGAAGGCTATACAGGCATACAACCTATACTCCGCGATTTTAGGCCAAATTTTGGAATTTTTTCCAATAATGAACTCATATGCGTGGGGTGACCTTTCGTGGTCATATAATCTAATTTGGAACCATAAGACACCTGTAAAGATGTCTATACAACCCAAAGAATGAGTTTAGTTTGATTCAATTACATTTAGCGAAGCAAAATCATTGGTTGAAAGGCAATAAGATGGACCCAAATAGGCTCCCATGGTACTCAAAATTTGATCTCTAACCATCTTAGAATTAAAAAAAACTCAAAACTTGAATATTTTTTATTATATAGACTATAATACACATGGAACAATTTAGGGAATTTTCCGAAACAAAGGTAAATGTGGAGGATGTATCATAGGACCAGAAATCTTGGTTTGGAATAATTAAGGACCCATAGAGGTAAAGGAGAAAAGACCAATAGTAGGCATGTTTGAAAACCGACAAATTAGGGTTTGTTTGGCATTGTTGTGGTTTCTGTTTTTTGGTTTTTTGTTGTATAAAAGTATATGATATATGTTACATAATGAATCAAAAATTATTATAACTTATTAAAATCATAATTATTTTGAAAACTGACAACAAAAAAGTGGAAACACATTTTTCTTGTTTCCTGTTTTTGGTTTTTAGTTTTAAAATAAAAAAAAAAAAAAAACAGGAAACTAAAAACCAAAAATGATGCCAAACAAGCCCTTAGATAGTTAAGAAAGAAGAAATATAGAAGATTCAAACTAATGGTCATTTGGGGTTTCAAGGGGTCTATGGGAATTATCTCAACCTCTAACCTTTTGACTTTTTGAGTGCAAAGAGCAATTTAAAGAAAATTTCCCGAAATTCCAGGAACATAATAAGATGTGATAGATATATTTTGCTATCATAAATATTGGTTTTGAACAATTATGGACTAACGAGGGAAAGTTGTATAGGCCTTTGGGAAGCCTATTCTAAACTGGCTATATTAATTGTTCATAACAAAGGTAGATGGTTCCAACATTCCAAATGACTAGCATCTCAACCTCCAACCCTTATAAGACCTCTTGGCTCTTGCTCAAGGGATCCCACGGGTAGCATTAAAAAAAAGTTCCAATAATGAAAGTTGTTATACATTATTTTGAAACAGTTTAGGTAAAATTTTCAATAATTTAGGTAAGGGTGGGGAATATTTTCAACATTCCACATTATGGGTTTGAATTTTGGAATCATAATGGACCATAGAGGTAAAGTAAAAAAGATCTAGGGGAGACGTGTTCTAAAACCAACAAAGTTGAAAGTTAAAAAAGAAAAATAAATAAATCCAACCATCTAAGTCGGGGTCCCAAGGTAGCATCTTGACCTTCTACCTTGTTTGAAAAAGTTAAGTGTTTAGGAAGGCACATGAGTAGATGTGGGAATTTCGAGCAATTTTGGAAAACTAAAGTAGATGGGCATAAACATTGGTTTGGAACCATAATGTAATGTAAGAAAGACCAACGGGAGGTGTGTTAAAAAATGACTAAATTGATGATAATGACATAAAGTAAACAGTTTTCCTAAAAAAAGAAAAGTAAACCGTTTAACCATTCAAATATGACCTCCCGGATTTTCACAGGGCTCATGAGAAACATATTGACCACCAACAAAAACAAATTTCCGGAAAGTCAAAAATATTGTAATTATGAAGGCTAATACACAATTTTGGAGCAAACCATTTTTTATTACACATTTTTTTTATTTTTTATTTTATTTTTTTTAATTAATTAGGCATTAGTAGGAGCGACAGAGGCATGTCTAAAAACATGCTAAATTGTTAGTTAAGAAGCAAAAAATATGTTTCCAACAATGCAACTACACAATTGGCATCCTAGGGTCCCATGGTGTCCATTAAAAGCATCCCAATCTCCAACCTTCATAATTCAAAATGTTCCAACTATGAATGTGGGGGATGTCTGCCGGGGCCATAAATATTATTTTGGATCAATAAAGGACTGGAGAGGGAGAGGTCAAGCAACATACCTTTGTAAGTAAGAGCATTTGGAGACTTGCCATTTTTTGTCATTTTCTGAAACAGCTCGTAAACTAGGTCATACTTTGAAGAGTGTAGCATCACCTAGCAAAGAGACATCAGCAAAGCTTGAGCAACGTAATTTGACAATAACGAAGCATAAACAAGATACAAAGAAACAAGAAGAGAGTTCTATACCTCCATTGCAAGTCCATACGTAGCACTATTGGCTTTTAGACCAGACTTCCTCAATTGCTCAAAGACCCATGAGACCCCTTTCCAATGATGGGAAGTGACACAAGAATTCAGTACCTACAATTATTACATTATTTTAAATTGGCATACAACACAAACAGAATATTTCAGTGGACAACAAACAGTGACCCTCTTACAGAATTGAATACTACTATATCAGGTTGAAGGGTGGGATCCCAGCTCTTGGAACGCATATTCTTAATATTTTTAGAATTCTTCTCCTTCAGGCGCTCTATAATGCTCATCAGCTCCCTCACCATTCCGGCTTGGCCAAGAGTAACAGCTATACTATGGTAAGCAGCCATGTCTGGATAGATGTGGAAATCCCCCTATGGCACTTAAATTGAAGATCTCATCGAATTACGATAAAAAATTTGAAATGATTCTTAAGAACTGTCAAGTAATAATTTTAAATATTCTCATTACACGCATTTGCTCGAAGATTCGGAGAGCATCATGTGGTTTTCTTGCCTTCCCAAGAACTGCAAGAAGCTTGGTGTACACAAACCTTTGACACAGGCGAAAGAAGAACAAAAGTATAGCTTAGAACTTAGAAATCCCAAAGTCAATGACTCATATTCTATCATTTAGCTCGTCATTAACTGTACTATATCTTGAATATATACTTAATGGAAATACAAGCAAAAAAATTCACCATAAATAACCACTAAACAATTCATCAAAAACCCCAAGAATGAAAACAAATCACATAATATACCTGCTTTTGAAATGTTTATGCTCATTTCTGCTATATACCCATCCCACAACCTCAATGGCCTGCCTCCAACATCCCCGGTCGCCGAGCCGGCCAAGAAGCTTAAGCAACTGATCTTCAGTAAACTGCAGCCGTGACTGTTTCATCATCCTTGTAAACTTCCAATCCTTCATTGTTATCTCACGAGCACTAAGCCTACACCACCAATTCATTAGCCAAATTACAGAACTATAAAACAAACAAATTCATAAACCCTGATTAGAATTGAGAGTTTCACCTATTAACAAGGATTTTAATAGCTTCAGCTTCAGAAACTCGACGTTGAGCAAATGTCCCACTTAAATTATCACCCTCAATCATACCCTCTTCCAATTCAACGTCATCATCCAAAAATGAAGACAAATCTTCAACCCTTCTCTCTTCAAAAATCAAACCCAATTCCCTTAAATGCTCAAACTTCAATTTCCCACCAAAATTCGATTCTCTTTCTTCATACCCACTTGCCAATTCCCTTAATTTTTCTCTCTCCAAAGATTCCCATGGCTTTCCCACCAAATTCGAGCTCTGGGATTTTGAATTAATGGCTTTGTTAAAATTTCTATATTCCTGGGAAATGGTTTCGAAGTAAGCTTCATGAGATAAAGTTTCTTTCTGGGATTGAGAGAGGGGTTCGTCAGGGGATTGAGAAGCAAGACGATTGGATTTGCGGAGGGATTTTTGGCGGTGTTTTTTGCGGAGGGTGTGGATGATTTTAGGGGTTGGCTGAACTCCTTTTTTGAGAAGTCTTTGTTTGATTTGTTCGGTTAGTGGGTCGACGAAATTACAGCTTGGAAGGGCCGGAGATCCGGCGAAAACCTCCATTGGTGATGAATTTTGGATGAGGAGTTCAAAAGAGTGGCACGTATCAAGGGGTTTTGGGGAGGTTTTGTGATTTTATCTAAAAAGACTGTCGATATGAAACACGTAATTAGTCCATTTCTACCAGACTCGTCAAAAATTGACTTAATAACCGAACATCTAATCCAATTAACATGATCTTTAAAAAAAAGGTCGAATTATTACTGAATCAAATCATTAACACATTTTTGTACATAAGAGAAATTAACATAAACAAAAGACTTAGCTAAATTGCCTATATCAACATTAACTTAATGAAAACTAATCTTAGAGAAGTGAATAAATTGTTTATCATAACCAAACAAAAATGAAATTCGAATTTATAATATCGAGTTAATCCAACCCTAATTAAAATCGTTAAAAATTATATTCAATTCTGGCTTATATTATTATTGTTATTACAATTAATAAATTGTTGTGTTATGGACTTATGGTATCAATCATTTTGTTATATTTACATCAATTATTTTTCTCTTCTTAAAAACATGTCCAAATAAATACTCGTATGTTTGTTGAGATTTGGACATCAAAGAAATATAACAAAATAAATATTTGCATATAAATTGTCATTAAAAATTTAAAATTGTTTTTTCCTTTCACCGTTATTTCAACTACATTTTATATGTTAGCTAAAAAAAGTATAAAAAGAAGCCAAAGAATTGCTAAAAACTTCATTTAAAACTTTCCGAAGACCAATCCACTTCAATGCTACAATTCTACAAATTCTTTTGTTAGGTTTTTGGAATTCGATGTCCTGGCAAAATCCAAGTTTTAGTACTCAACGTTTATCTTGCTCCATCGGAATAATTCTCCAAGGCAAGAAGATCTTGTTCCGTTCATTGTCACCGGGATATCAAAGTTTCATTTATCCGCAAGCCTTTTAGAGTAGGGTTAATAGAGAATTTAAAAGGTACAAAGTATATCATTGAAAATTTCCAAATATGTTACTTTTGGTCAGTGGTGTTCCTCTTTTATGGTAAACGCCAGTTGTATTGATACGTACCAAAACAAGTCACAGCAGATTAGAACTTTGCAGGAGAGGCAATAAAAATTCAACAATGAGCATTTTTGTTGGGAGAAGAGTGAAAAATTTTCAACTGAATTAAATGTTCCTGTCAATGAATGTACAACCAAGCAAATAACATAGGAATCAGATTAAAACCACATACTTACACCCGAGGTATGCCCATCCACTAGGTTACACCCCGGAGCTGACTAGCAAGTAAGCCAAAAGAGTTGCACAATCCAACAAGCTTACTTCATCATCCTCCGGGTTCCAAGAATCTTCGTCATGATGTTATACAGATGTGGCAGTACCACATTTTTATTATACATATATACTGAGGCATAGTCCTCATTTGCAACCAAACAAAAACAAGGTAGGATGCATACCAATGGGTCCATAAAGTTCTATTCCTATTCTTCCTAATTTCCTATTCCATAGAATGATTAGGTACAGATCCAAAACAAGGTACGAATTAAAGCATAGTATGAACCAAAATCAATTTGAAAACAGCCTATACCAAATCCAAACTGACACGAACAACCTGATAGAATAACCTACCAAAGGAAGATACAAGCATAAGCACGCATTTCTACAAACTTCCTAAAAATCAGCCACGTTTCTCATGCAGTGAACTCTGCAGCAAGATGACAGATGAAAGAGACAGACAGGAAAACACGCCAGAAATCCTCTCATTCATAAACAAACCCTGATTTACACCCACTATAAAGCTATATATAAGGGATATCGACACAGCCATGTCAAAGTTCAATAATTTCACTAATAAACAAGGTTTAATAAAAACTTCAACACAAGAATATGGAGGATAAGCCTTCTATTTAGCTCTTCGATTTAGAGTGCTTCACAAGCCAGTCAATAACTGCATCAATGTTTGTTGAGTTCTTGCAGGAGATCATAAAACAGCATACCTCTCTATCTGTAATTGACTTGAGCTCCCTGCACAAGAAATTTTTTTAAGCGCCGATACATTGATCTCAAAAAAATTTACACTACAGGTTACTCATACAAGACTAAAAAAAACATGTACACGAACCATTCAAGTACATTAGAGAAAAGTCTAGTTAGTGCGAAGTACAGAAAAAAGGACTAACATTTGTTCCATAAAATCTTCTTTTGAGATAGCTCCAGGCTTGTCTGTTTTGTTTCCAAGCACCAGGAGAGGGATGCCACTCAATGAAGTTTTGCTTAGCAGATCATGAAGTTCACTTCTTGATATGCCTAAGTTATCATGGTCAGCAGCATCAACAACGTAACTGCAACAGATATAGATTCACCCATTATCAAGAAAATAATGAAAATCATAATTTCAAGAATCCAACAAGGAGCTCAATTCGCAGCTTAGAATGGAGAGTAATAAAACAAAAAAAGACAGGACATGACGGTAAAACTAAATCTAATCCTGTTACTGTAAATTATATAATCAGCAAAATTAACAACTGGTTCATGCAGATGTATGCATAACACAAGACAGTCAGAAGGAGAAGCACACATGAAGATATACTCGTGATATAAGTCATATAACTAATACATACAGAAATGGTAGGACACAAACAATTTGGAAGGAAGACTAGGAGGATAGCAGCAAAGGAATACTGAATCTAGCTAGAACTAAGGAGTTAGGACTCCAAGGATGCTTTGAAAATCTTCAAAACGGTTGGTTTGTTGGCATATATCATGGACAATATCATCAGATCCACAGTCTGAATATTAGTACAACATAATGCATTATTGCACCTAAGATAACTAGATGACCCCATCTAGTTGTTTAGGGTTCTAAGGACCAATATAACCTTGTCTTCGTAAAGATTAAACACCTAATCAGTCCAACAAGGAATCATAACTACAAATTTTGAGCATTCCAAACTTGATCACATATTAGGGTTCACTGCTCCCTAGCTTCACGACATTTCAAAGTACAATAGAACATTAAGCAAACCTAGTGATGAAAGGCCAAGCAGAGAAATCAAAGCACATAATCCAGAAGAAACAACAGAGCAATATATAAAAAGAGAGGAAAAAGAAAAGGGCTCATACACAATAGCGGAGACAGCACGGCAGTATCTCTCCCACATACTACGAAACCTTGGTTGACCTCCAATATCCCACAACTTTATTGTAACATTCCCTTTGGTAACCTTCTTCATATTGAAACCAACCTGGCAATCAAATCCAAACAAGAAGATTTTTATAATTGCATCTTTTTCACATCTTCCTTTATACAGAAACAGAAAATAACATAGAAGAATCAAGAGATGAATTGGAGAATAGAATTTTAAGGCAATAAAACCCTTACAGTTGGGATCATATCTTCACTATATCCTCCAGTTGCCACAACGTTAACAAGAGAGGTCTTTCCTGCATTCTGAAGTCCAATCAAAGACAGCTCCATTTCCTGCTTGAAAAAAAGGCTACAAGAAGATATGGGAGAAAAATAAGGTAAGTTCGTAATTAAAAAGGAATGCAAATGAAAAAGAAAAAAAAAATACTTGTATAAGCCATCGCAATTAATGTCATAAACTCATAATAATGATATGATAAAGACGAAAAGATTAAAATTGCATACGTTAGAAAGAATCATAGGAGTATTTACCATACTAAACAGATTATCTACAGACAATTTGAGCCAGCGCATTGACAAATTAGTACATGGTTTTCCACAGTAGCAGTTGAACAAAAAATAACACATACCGAAGCATGGGAAATAAAAGACTGACTGTATTTGTAAAAACCCTAGTTATAATCTCAGTAGAGATCATTAAAAAAAAAAAAACAAAGTATAAAGTGGAGCAGATGTTGCAAGATGGAATTATTCCCATCACGACAGCAGAAAAAGATTATTTCCAAACGAAAACCAACAAAAACCAACATAATCGAAAACTTTTCCTATACTTATAGTTAGTATGAGACTATAAGGTGTCATATCTAGAGCTTTACAAATCAGCCAAAAAAACCTTTTACAGTGGAATCACCTCAAGATTGAAATGTTAGCTCAGTGTTTGGGTTAACCCCAATTTGTTTTTGATATTCTCACTTCGAGTAAAAAGGAAGGCAAATCAGAAAAACACTTAGGGGGCATTTGGTTAGTGTAATTTTTGGATTGGAAACATATTCGAATAAACCGATACCGTTATCGTGTATCTGGTTTGAGGCATGGTAACAATTACCCCTCATTTGTTACCTCTCAAAAACTTGGGGTAACAAATACCCTTACCCTCCTCTTAACAAATACCCCCCCCCTCTCTTATTTGTTTCCTTTCCACTCCGAATCCAAAAAAAAAAGCCATTAAAAATAATATTGTAACGTATGATGGACTTGCTTATAACAATGATTGACATAGAAATTAATGAAATCTACAGAAAGATCACAGGATTTCTTGCCATACTAAAAGTACCTATGTTAGCAAGGACCATAAAAGTACTTGGCTACTTGCCATAATAAATAGAGAATCGGAAGGAAATTCTCTTTTAAGCTGCAGATCACGGAGAATTGACATACTAGTACTATAAAACAGGTGATTTTCCAGAGGAATAGTTGAACAAATCAACATGTTAATGAGTCTATATATAATATATATTGCAAAGGTTGCAAAGCTTGTAAACTATTCTCATCTTGACAATAAAAGAAGACAGTTATTTCAACACAAACACAATCAAAGTAGTCGAATATTCTTCGTGTTAGTATGAATATCTAGAGCTTTACAAACCAAACAAACAAAACGTTTTCTAGGGGAACTATCTCACAGTTTGAATTTTTGCAGGTTTAGTATCATTTAAATTCAAATCAATTATTAAAAATAATACCTAAAAACCTAATTAGAAAATTCCGACAATATAATAGAAGCTTTCATTTTACTACCAGGAATTATTCTCCAACAGAAAGACTAATACTTGCAATTCGAAAGGCAAAAGTAAGTTCATACTCAAAAGGAATGCAAATGTAAAAAAAAAAAAAAATACTATAACAAGCAATCAAAAACAACTCCATAATGAATGAAGGTTCGCTTATAACATACATTTAATACAGAAAAACAAAATAACACAAGTCATCCTTGAAACAAAGTGCATGTAGGTTACACAACTAAAATCGCCTACGTTGGCATTATGGCAAGGATCATACAAGCACTTGCCATACTAATTAGATCATCTAAAACCAATTCGAGCACAGCGAATTGACAAACTAGTACCGACAGACATGGTGATCATGAAAAGGACAATGCGCACATGATTATACATAATAGTAGTTGAACAAACACAGCACATAAATGATACAGCAGCATGGGGCATAAGAGGCAGTACACAATCATACATTGATAAAATAAACCCTAGATATATACTCTTTTGTGATTATTAAAAACAATAAAAACAAAGTATGATTGTGTAGCAGATGATGCAAAGCTTGTAATTATTCTCAATTCACCAACACCAAAAGACAAAAAACATTATTTCAATTATATTAAATTTTAATAAAATCAATTCCATAAAACTTCTCAAAAATATCAATTTCATTAAAATCATAGCATCAAGTATCAAAACAAATGAAAAACATATAATCAGTTGCTGCGATGTGTGTAGGCCTTAAAAAATCATGCAAAAACAACATTTTGTAGTGGAATTACCTCAAATTTTGTATTTTGACCGCGATTCTTCCAGTTCAGTTTCATAAAAATCATTAATTATCCATCAATTATATGTCATTTAAATTCGAATTGATTAACCAAAACAATCACCTAAAACCTAATTTAAAAACTGACAATTCAAAGTGAAAATTTCAATCCGCTACCAGAAATTAATCTCTAAAATTCAAAATTCAGACCATTTCACCAAATTCTGGTGAAAATAAAACACTAAAATGAAATCGAAATTGAGCACAAATGAAAAAAAAAAAAAAAAACAAGAAAACAGAAAAAGAAGATGAAAAAGTAGGAGAGAGAAACAAACCTTCGAAGCCAATTAAGAAAAGCTTCCCAGATACCCATGGCTAGGGAAGAAGAAAGTTAGAGAGAGAAAGAAGAGAGAGAGATCTACGAGGATATACTCTCACACAAACTCTCTCTCACTCGCTCTTTCTTTTCTTTTGACCTTGAAATGAAATTGAAAAAAACAAAAAAAGAAATTTCACAATTTATATTAAATTATTTTTATTAGAGAATATAGGTGGAGAGATATTAGTGGGTAAAGTGGGGCAGTAATTAATTTATCTATTTTAATAAAAAAGTGTGGGCCCATGCTATGATTTGGGGTTCAAATTACACGGACCCGTATTATACGTGCTTTGCATTTGTGGACCAATCATACAGGGTGTCATTTAAATGTTACTCGCTGTTTTGTTGCGTGAAATTCACGCTCGTTGTTTTGGTTGGGTTGAAAGTGATACGCGTCGTTTAAGAGAGTGGAGTTATATAGCGGCGTGACCGGCGTCCACATGTCTGACAGAGTTTGCTTATCTGGCAGTAAGTGTTAGTATTAGCTTAGTCGGCTTCCAGAAGAATCTTCTATTTTTCTTCTAATGGGCTATGATCTGGTCTTGTTGGGCTTTTAAAGGAAATTTAATTAAAACTGTCTAGCCCGGAAATTTTCTTCTGCCAGCCCATCCAAAATACTCGGGCTTTTTCATACGGGCCTCATGCTGATCAACTTTGCTAATGCAGTTTTAGCATTATACCTTTTACTTTCTCCGTTTTTATTTAGACCGTGTTCTATTCACCTGATTTTTATTTATGTTAAATTAACTGAACTCATTACACCTTATTAAAATTAATTATAGTTGTTTCCTCTAAAAAAAATTAATTATAGCTGTAATTTTTACATTGATAACTCAATTAGTTTAAACTTATTACATCTTAAATAATTGAAAATGAGGTGAACACAACATGTCTGTGGCACACATTTAAACAAGATAAGGGACTAAGTAAAAGAGTAAATTAACTGAGATAATTTTGCCACCTATTAGAAGATGGTGTTAACTTATTTTGATATTAATTTAATATGTCCATTTACATTTTTTTATCACCTTATCTAATAGCATGTCTATAAAGTGTGTTACATATGAAGTATATAAATACATAAAAAACTATAGAATTATATACCGCAATTTGTGACCTTATCTAATGTTGAGTAGGTAAATGTCAGTGCTTCAATTGGATCTTAAATTTAATCAAACAAATAATGATTGGTTGATTGGTCTTTAACTCTTGAAATTATAGTTATTTTGTTTTATGGTTTTCACCACAATTCAACAAAGTGAAAGAAAACTAGAAAAGTAGCATGCTATCCTCATTTGGTGGAGATGCTAAGGAGTGAAAACAAATACCCATAAAAGTGATCAAAGTCGACCAAAATAAAAGCCTTTCTTAGAGGAGAGCAAAAGTTAATAACTAGTAAGAAAAGAAGCCGCCACAAACTAAACGCATCCATATATATTATCACAGTATCACTATAATTTTGCCACAAGCATAAATTTAATGAAGCTGACCTCAAACCTCCATCTGATAATACTCTATCTGTTTCAAATTATGTGCAACATTTGACTCTTTAACTTAAAACTTTATAATTGTTTCATCTAAAAAGTCTCAAGGGTAAATAATGAAGATGATCCCAAATTTTTTCTTTTCTCTTGGATACCATTACCACCACAAAGAATTAACCAAATAAGACTAATTAATAAATGGTGATTAAGGGGGAAGAGGGGGTTTAATATGATTCGTTACTGACCCCATAATTTATACCTCTCTTGAGAAACCCTTCCTTCCCCAAAACCAGGGTCACAAGCTATTCTTACCTGACTAAGCAAGTTACACTCTGAATCTCCCTTACTCTCCTCTTTCCTTTTTCTCTCATCGATTTCTCATGACAATTCACAAACTAAACCTCTTTTCATCATCACTTGATTTCAGACAACTACTCTCCAACAATACACGGGGAGTTTACCTTTTCATTTATGTCAAATGTCCAAATCCAAATTAACCCATCACCATAATCATCAAATTAATCCTTTCATCACTTTCTTCTCTCTTTTCTTGCTCTCTTCTTCCATTCTTTCCTCCAATCTCCCCTTCGCTTTCCTTCATCATTGTCAGATTCTAACATTCATAGGCGTGATCCATTGCAGCATTTTGAGTTCTATCATGGAGGTTACAATCTTCAAAGCAAACATTACTGGGCTGTAAGTTTTTAAGTTTCTTTTCTTTTGTTCTAATTCTTTATAATCCCCTGTTTTAAGTTGTGTTAACAATGATACTCTGTTTTTCAGTCGGCTGTTTTTACGGGAGTTCATGGGTATGCAATGGCGGGAGTGTGGATGTTATGTGGATTAGGATTTGGGATTTTCTTGATTATCAAGAACTATTATTGGAGCAGCAATAATCAATTTTCTTCGGTTAATCAATCAAAATATTCGAAATTTTCATATTATTTGGTGTTCTTCCTGCTGCTATTTTTCACGCTCCTTGCCATGTAAGTGCTTCAATTTTCAATGCTACATTATTTTGTGATTTATTAAATGCATGATATTCGGAAATCATCGCTAGTGTCACCGTCTTATACTAGTGAGTAACTAAAAATTGGATTGTTTTAGGAGTATGTAACTAACTAAAAACAAAGGACTGTGACGTACACGTAACACGTATAGTCTCTCCGTTTTTTTAGTTGTTCCATTTTTCTTATCAAGTGGCTTTATATCGTAAAAGGGTTGTTTTTGTCCGTCTCTATCTCTTATTCTTTACTGTTAAAGTTTGTCTCAATTTTTCTCTTAGTTGTTAGCTTATCATACGGAATTAATCGTGATAAACCATCTTTGTCGCACGAGGCTATCACCCTTAATTGTAAATCGTTCACAAGGTCACTAGTAAATAACCAAGGCTTGTCTGTACGTAAAACACATACGTATAACACTATAGTATTTTGGGAATTTTAATGGTTTGTACATGTGCATTTGAATTTAGAGTTTGTACACATTAAGTACCAAATAAAGGTGCATATGATTTAAGTATGTTGCGCTAATATTCTCATTGTTGCCTTGACAATAATGAAGGATTGCCACAGGATTCGTGATAGCAGAAAACCAGAAAAGTCTTCATACAACAAAGAAACTGAAAGAAACAATTCTAGGGGCAGGCAATGAGGCACGCAGAACAATTCACAAAATAAACAAAGTAATGACCAACATAAAAGCCCTCCTAACTCCATATGATCAAGAAACTTGCATTCTATTAGACGCCACAAGTCTACAACTCGGAAATGAATCTCACAACATCAAAAAATTTATCCAAAAGAACGAACATTCCATTGATCAAGCTACTTGGGCTCTGTAAGTATTACATTAACTTATTGGGTAATTTGATCAATCTCACTTAGATGGTATATTGTACTACTTCCTCCGTTCTTTATTACTTGACCCGCTTTGACTTTTACACTATTCACTACCCCTTCTTTGACCGTCTTTTGTGAATAATATGTAAGAAAAAATATATTCATGTATGATTTTTTGGATTCGTCTCAATAAGTACTATCATAATATATAATTTTTATAATTTTTACTTATGGAGAATTTAAGTTATTAATCGTTAAAGTTTTGCATTGACAAACGTGATAAAAGAAACAGGTCAAGTAAAAAAGAACAGAGGAAGTATTAATTTGTATTATATATATATACGCATTATCTAAATGTCTTTCTAACAGCACTTTATCTGATTTATCCTCTACTTGTCCTTTATACTTAGGTACATAACAAACCTTGTAGTTGTGACCGTTAACTTGTTATTTTTGGTTGCTAGTGTAGGTGAGGTTTTCTCCTTCATTTTTTGTATTTCTTCCTTTTGATTACTGCTCGTGTTGTTTGATATACTAAAGATAATTCTTGTTTTAATACAGTTTTGATCTTGTTACACTGGCACCCAAGATTCTTCATGTAAGTATTAGCTTGTAAACCGAACTTGATATCAATTTGATATATTCATATATATATTAAGCTGATCAATGTTATTTTTCATTGGCAGTCTTATATTCTTTTGCTGGATATTAACAATGGCATGTTGGTTTTTGACTGGCATAGATTTCTTTTTTCACAAGTGAGTATAATAAGCTCGTGACATACTTTAATTTTCTAGTACTTTCACTTTGATTAATGTCATCAATTTATTATGTAAACTTTGAGTTTTGTTGTTCGTTGTTTCCACCATCATTGTGTTAATATTGCAGTTTTGCAGAAGATACGTGCACAGCACTTGAAGATTTCAAAGACAACCCTGTGAATAGCAGCTTAAGCTCATTACTGCCTTGTGCAAACGCGTTAAAATCACAAACTGTCATCACCGTACTTGGCCAAACTGTCCATGATATTATACGCCTAATGTTAACACAGTCTATTGTTGCGATATAGTAGTCATTTGGTTAGACGTATGTACAATAATGTATCAATTTTTCAGCTTGATTGTTATAAAATACGAAGTAATGTACATTGTAATATGAAAATGCAGTTGAATCTAAACATGAAAATAATGCCCAAGGAGCTTGGATTAGATGAATTGCATTATGAAAATGCTTTTGGAGATAGGAAAATTTGTGATCCTTTTGCTGGTCCACCTGATTACAAGTATCTAGCTGGTAAATGCCCCAAGCATGCCATTCCAATTCGCGAATTACCTGGTGTAAGTAAACTAATTAAAATCTGTTCTTATCTAATTTTGGAGTATAATTCAACAAGTATGGAGTTATAATAATTGATGTGAACTCCATTTAAATTTTCATGCAGATTCTTGCTAAATTTACGTGTGACAATGAGTTATCATCCTTGGAGTCGTGTAAAGGCAAGGGGAAATTTCTTCCGAAACCAACTTATTTGATGGCATATGCTTACATTCGATCAATTGAATACTTGACTAATGTTTATCCTGATTTGGAGAACCTTATTCATTGTTCATTTGTCAAAGATCGGATATCCGATGCGGTCATGCACCAATGCAAGCCATTTAAGGTCTCTACATATGGTTTATGGATTTCGATACTCTGTCTTTCAATAAGCATGGTGATTTTGGTGTTGTTTCGGGTGAAAACAATGGGACCTTGTCGAAGGTCCGATGAAGTGGAGAAGACTGGATTCGGTCCAAGTGATGTTGGGCCGAAGGTTTCCTGCACAGTAAACACACGTAAACTAGCCTCGGGGGTGTTGCCGAGGAAGGCCCCTCCGATGCTAAAGTCAATACAGTGTGTAGAAAGAGAACACTATGCAAGAGAATTAATTGCTTGAGGCTTTTTTGAATGAATGTACAAATGTAATATTGATGGCTTTTATACCTTTGCATGTATGGAGAAGTTGGGCCTTAGCCCAATTGACTTGCCTTGAACACTGATCTTTGACTTTAGCACAGTTGGAGAGTTGAACCTTGACCTTGGGCTTTTAATTGGATCATTTAATGACTAGGCCCAATTGGACTAAATTGGACCCAAACAACTTGCCCCCCAGACCCGATTTGGAAGGATGACGGGTCGGGTTTGATTTAATCAGAAAAGGAGGGAAGTGAATGATTTAATTAATCCAAAAAATTTGAATTTAAACCGTAATTAAACCGTAATTAATGAGATAACAACAGTTAAGGCGAATAATTGTGGAAGTTGGACGGATAATGGGCGGTTTAATCGCAAGGTCGTGTGTTTAACGGTTACTTAGTGGGGTATTTAAGAGAAATTGAAACGCGGACTCCCCGTATTCCCATTTCTGGAGATATAGCTAGAGGCGCGTCATCTCTCCTCACTTATTCACCAACACAAACCCAGAATTCTCGAGAGAACCCAAGAACCCGCATCAAAACTTCGCAAATTCCCCGAGCATTAAGCTTAGAAACTGAGACTCGTCACTACCAATTCGTAAATCGACAACTTTCGCTTCAGATTAAGGTAAATTCCTTTGATTTTAGTTTATTTTTCTTCGAATTTGAACTTCTTCCCCTTTTTCGACTTTTTTCTTCGAAATTCATCAATGGTGAGAGGAGTTAGAGGTAGAGCCCGTGCTCCAAGAAGAGCAAGGCCAATTCCCGATCCCAGGAACAGGATTGGGACCTGGAATGGACAAAGAGCAGAGTCTGACCCTGCTGAACGGATTAGGGCGACTCCCATTTCTTCGGCTCCTCCTCAGAGAACGGAGGGGTCGAGCGCTTCTGGGCGGGACGATGAAGTTCCCGCTGTCCTTTGGGATATCCTTCCCGGGTTTTCGGAGTGGGAGGATGCCGAAGTAGCTTCGGCCATGATAAAGAACCGCCCCTACCCATGGTGGGTGGAGAATGCTGAACAGTATTGGTTTGCCGAACAACTCGAGTTGCATTACGGCATCCTTGAAGCTGATGGGTATTGGTGCCGAATGCCTGTGGCATCCGATAGAATTCATCGTCCACCCCCGGGGTATGTGGGGGTGTACACAAGACAACTTCAGTATGGGCTGAGGTTCCCTTTGGACGTATTCGTCCGAGACTTGCTGATCCATTATAACATTTCCTTATGTCAGCTAACTCCCATTAGCATCCGAAGGGTGATGACATACTTATGGGTCTGCAAGTTCTTCAGGTATGTGACGAACCTGCACTGCTTCAAAAAGCTCCATCGGCTAGTGCCAAATATTCAAAGTGGGCACGGAAGTCACGGTTCTGGGTGGTACCGGATCGAGTCTCGGCCCCAGTACCTAACCATGTGGCCGAACGACTCTTCAGACAAGGACTGAAGAGGTCAATGGATTTGTGTTAGAGCACCCACGGACCCGAGCCACCCTTGCGTCTTCAGCGCTCCCCGGTATCTTGCTGAGCCTGATCCCGACATGGGAAGTTTAGGTCCCCTTGAAGATAACGGCCCAGATCCGAACCTTAATCAACAGAACATCTTCGGCAAGCTGCCGAACCGGGGGGGCAGCGGCCGAATGTAGCATATCCCGGAGACTTGGCTCCCCGATACGCATTATGTTTTCCAAGAGAACATGCTAGCAGCTGTCGGCCTCAGCCGAAAGTTTAAGGATGGTAAGCTTCTTTGGCTGGGGCCGAGGCCTTCTAATTATCTCTTTTCCTCTTTCGCTTCGCTCTTTTATGCTGTGTCAACCTAACTGAACTGACCTTTTCCCTCTTCTTTTTCAGAGCGGGACGAGACCAACGTCGGCATTAACTACGCTCGTCTTGGCGTCAACCGAGAACGAGTTGTAACGGATCGGGCCCCCTATATCACTGAACCGAGGCATAGGGAAGTTCATCTAGACTCTTCCCACTTCCAAATTGAGGTTGTTGCTCTGTATCAGAGGCAGAAGCCTTGGTGGAAGAAGAGAGATCCCTGGTTTCAGCTGTTAGACGAAGAAGCTGAAGCTGCCCGTACGGCCGAAGAGGTTGCACGGGTTATCGAAGCTTGTGAAGGAGGAGAAGGGTCCTCCAGGGCTGCTGAAGAAGAAGCTGCAGCTAGGGCAGCTGAAGAAGACGAGGCTTTGCTGAAGAACTCGGTGAGCTTTTAGACTTAGTTTTGTCTGTTTCTGTTTTTTTTTTTTTTTTATTTGTACTCACATTCTTCCTCCCCCCTGTCTTTTACAGTCCGAAGAGAGTAATAGACATAGAGAAGGGAAAGCCCCTGTTCGTCCCGAAGACCAGATACAAGAAGAGTCTTCAGACTCAGACATGGACGAGCAGCCGCTTCAGAAAAGGCGCCGAAGAATGGCCATCATCGGCCCGCATGACTTTCAGCGGAGGCCGATGACCATCGGCGTCGAAATAAGGGAACCCGAGGAAGGCAATGGATCGCCGAGGGTTCCCCGGCCACCACCTCAATCACCTCCAAAGACCCCTCCGCCACCTCCCGAGATGGAGGTGGATCAGAAAACTCCCGAACCTAAGGGAGGGGTCCAAGAGGAAGTTCAAGAGAGTGCTGCTGAGCACAGGAATGAGGATGCCGTGATGCCCAGTGCTGAGGGTTTCACGGCAGACATTGCAAGAGAGGTTGAGGCCTTCGTCCTCACACCTGAAGAAGAAGAAGTCATAATAATTGACTCTTCTGAGAAGAAGGGGGATGCCGAGCCATCCAAGATTAAAGAAGCTCCATCGTCATCCTTCCCTTCCTTCCAGACGCTGCAGTATGGAGAAATGGGTTTCTCGGCCCCTCGAATTCCAATCCCAGATCACATCTGGGACCTCATATGGGGTCAAAACCGAGAAGGTGTTGCAGCCTACTTTGGCGATTTTGCTGGGATGTCCGAAGTAGATAGGGCAAGAATCTGGTCGCTGATGGCCACTGCTGGGATGGGCGAATCCAGCAGATCAGTTCCAGACCCAGCCAGGTCTAACCAACTACTAATGATGCAGGTGATTCTCCTTGCCTTTATCTCTTTTTCAATTCAGCTCTTCAATTCAGTTTCAATTATTATTATTATTTATTTTATGTTGACTTGTGCTCCTGTTTCAGTTCGTGCACAATCAGACTCTCACTGTAGAGCTGATAGATACCCTACAAGATAGGGTGGACGCTGCCGAGCACGACAAAAAGGTAGCTGAGGAGGAGTTAAAGCTTGCTAAGCTGAAGCAAGCAGCAGCTGAAGAGAAGCAGCATAAGGGTGAAGAGTATGAGAAAAGAGCTGTTGAAGCCCTTAAAACCTTCTGCGATGCTATGGAAAAGGAAGCTTTTCCCCCACTGATGGAAGGGGAAAAATTCCTCCAAGAGCACATGGGAGTGGACATCTCCAAATTCAAGGATACCATTGAGAGCCGAATCCAGGAAGGAGCTGCTGCACAAGCTGAAGTGCAGCAAAAGCTGGAAGCTCTTGAAGCCAGTAGAATGGCTGCTGAAGAGATGCTCCAAGTAGATAGGGCAAGAATCTGGTCCAACTCTCAGAGGCTGCTGCTGCTGCTGAAGCTCAGAGAGCTAAGCTCCAAGAAACTGAGGATCAGCTGATGGCCAAAAAGGAAGAAGTGGCCCAGGCTCAGACAGAGGCTTCCCAAGTTCAGCAGGAGCTGAATGAGCTAAAAGGTTCCTCCTCCAAGCTCGGCGATGAGCTGAAGAAATCCAAGGAAGACTTGGAGGAGACAAAGAAGAAGTTGGCTGATGCTGAGGCTCTACTCAAAGTCCGTGTCTATACCCAAGAAGAGTATGAAATGGGTTTCAGAAACGGGTTCAGAGTGTGCCGAAGAGTCTGCTTACATGCTGAGCCGAAGTTGGGCTGGTCCAAATGTGCTGAATGGGTCCAGGATCCCGAAGACCCTCATATGAAATATGCAACTCCAATCAAAGCTGAAATCCTTAAGGCTGAGGAAGCCGAAGAAGAAGCTGAAAGAATGGAGTTGGAGGCTGAACAGAGGGAAAGGGAGGCTCGGCAGAGTGCAAAGCCTGCTTCTTCTGCTGCTGGGGCTGAGACCACCATGGGGCCCAACAATGCTGATCAGTCTGATCCTCGGGCTGAAGCATAGGAACTCGGGCAGTCGTCTTCAGAATCTTGCGGTTCATCATGCGCTCAACTTTAGACTTGCCGCTTTCTGAATTTTTGCCTTGTTTGTTTTTTGCTTCAGCTTGCCTTGTCGTACAAACAGTTTATTTTTTGCTTCTGTACGTATTTCGGCAGCTGTTATTTTCTGCTTGTGGGCGGCTGCCGATATAGTTTTTTTTTAACTTATTTGAACTTGTAGCTCAATTTCTGAGCGTGAATTATTAATTTGACGTCCCTTTCTGCAACTGCTTTGTCTTTGAATGCTTTACTGTTTCTTTAATTCTGCTGAACATAAACTTGCACTGGTAGTGCCTCTTGCCCCCCCAGAAATTGAAGTATGACTTCAGCTGAATAGACAATTTCTTTATTTCTTAAAAATGGGTATCCGAAACACAGGTCCAACTGAAGGCAATGCTTCAGATAATGGCTTTCTGGGATACAAGGCTCAGTTAAGGCAATATCCCAGACTTGTCCATGTACTCATGCCTTTGGAGAACAAACTTACTGAAGCTTGACTTCAGCTGAAAGACCAGAGTTCTTTAAAAAGAAGAGTTTGTCAGCAATCTGAAACCTAGTTACCCGAAGGCGAAGTTTGCAGA